GACTCGACTACATAAAACTCCTATCATGTAAAATCAGAGCCAGCATTTTTATTCTCGTTTGATTACGAACCATATAAAATCCGAAGCATTCTACACGTCAATTTGATTTAATATTTCGTACGGCGTATTCAATGTAAATCTAGTCGACCTCAATAATCTGGAGAGTATTCTAAGAATAAGAAATCCAACCGATACAAGTCTGCAAGTCAATAACTCAGTGGGAAGTCAAGCAATAGCTGGCTCGGCGGTTCAGTACGTCGCCGTTCGTAAGTTATGAGACGCATGCATCAGAGAAATGTGTTTTCTTACACCGAGTAGACTCCTGTGTGCTACACACGAGTGTCCGTCGATATTAAGGCGCGGTTTCGCAAAAACTGCTCCCGTTCTGACATTACAGTACGTCACCAGGTACAAATAAGGCCTGTCGCGTGACCAAATGCTCAAACCAATAAACCATCGGTTTACGTGATAAGGCTGGCCGAGTTAGTTACGGTTTGATCGTAGCGTTACAATGGGAATTATGTTTTAATGACTTTGCTCATTGTTCTCCGAGTATTAATTGTTTACATACGTATTGCATGCAGAAAGTACTGGTGACGTCATACATCATATTACTCAGACTGAATAAGTGTTTTAATTAAAATTTCCATTTGGCCGTCTGTTTCCTCTAAGGTAATAAAGTGATCACTCAACTACTTATTTAAGGCGAGCATATTTCTATGGGCTATAAATTGTTCGTGCACGAACATGTTTGTTAGTACATGCTAATTATTACATGTACTGGGTCTGGGTTTCTTCTCAGATTGGTTGAACACTAAAGACAGTAGTAAATCGAGTTGTGTAAATAGAATTAGGATATTAGATAATAGGTTTGGAACTTTCCCAGAGGAAACAGTGAAAGGCAGTGATGACAAACAAGTGCTTTGTTCCAGTCATTAGGCGCAGTGTGCGGGGAGCGTCGCGCGTCGTCTGCAGGCGACAGCGAACGCGTCGCGTCACACGACACGAATGTTTGTCACGCGACACGGCGTCGCTCGCGATTTTTGAATCATTTATCAACCGCTTGTTTACTCTGCTTTACGCTACTGCGACCGGTTTCGACGGCCGCGCAAAAACTGGGTCATTCTTCATTACGGCCACAACGCAAGTCAATTCATTGATTTCCACAATCGCTCATACATTTTTACGATTAATATGTCTGGCGTGACAGCCGACTATTCTATTATACTTATTAACAGGGATCAATAAAATATAGACATTGAATAGATAGCAATCGCTTGAATTGACATTAAGTTGGTGTTTAATCACGTTGCATGAGAATGCGTTTTAAAGAGGCAAGTTGAGCTTGTCGCAATGTAGAGTGACTTTCACAATGCACTCGTCGCATGCGAGTGAGCTAGTAAACGTCTATAATGCATTTGTAGAATGGGGCTCCTCGCATAAATATAACAAGAATGTACCTAAGTAGAAGCGATACAAGTGATCTTCCTACGTATTTATCTCCAAACTTTGCCACAATTTGTTTTGCATGTATAATTTATAGGACATCAAAGGTCTGGAATAAGGTTACGTACATTGTTCTAGCGGGTTTAATTAAGAGCTACCGAGAGTATCCGAAAGATCGTAAAACGCGACGATAGTTGGCTCGGCTTTATGCGGTGTCTTACAATTATTTCCTTCTCGGGGAATATCATTATTATATATTACTTCTTTTTATGGCGGGTGACGTTTTACGACGGTTCCTTCTTTCGGACAAATTCCAGAATTTTGAATGAAATTGTTCGTGGAATGTGTAGTACTAATGATGTAAGTTTTCCCTATTACGAAATGGATCAGTTTGCGTACAGTTATAAAGTTTATACTTTCCTGTTTGCAAGATTAACATAACGATACAGAAATCCACGTTAAATTAGGTACTACTTACTCGTGTTTGATGTTATATCATTAAATCTAATTTCACGGTAATTGCACACAAAAAAACTGAACAATACCATTAAGAGAATCAATAAAACGAAGCGTGTGAAAATTAGTGTTGTTGTTTCATGTTAGTCTTTACTCTTTACACATTTTAGATTCTTTATCGCATAATCCAATAGTTATCAAAGTTAGTTCATAGACAGCGCGTACAGCGTACATCTGCAATCCTTCGTCACGTTCGCTCGTTGTGACGTGCATCGCGTCACGTTGCCAGTTCGGAGCCGTGACGTCAGCATGACAGAGTGACCGTACACCCGTGATCCCGCGTCCCAAACCGGTAGACACTACTGAATCATTTATTATCACACTACCGCAACTACCAGCGATCACAAACAAAACTATTCCAATGTTTATATCATCCCCTCCACTATCTCTCACTGCAATCTTACAATTTTCTCGCTTCAAAACCGCACTGTAGGAATTATGAAATCAATTTCATAACAATTTTAACAACTTAATGTAATAGATGCATCAAGGATGTTGTGTCACTCTTGATTAAAGCAAATCAATGTGAAACCAGAGTTCGCAGACTTATTTTGTTTTGATACAATAACCTTTAAAAGGCCCCTAAATAGAAAGTCCATTGTCCCTACTCCCTACATGAGCGCGGATTGCAAATTGGCCCAAATTAGCCGTTATTCAAACGTTACCACGAACGGAAAAAAATATCGGATAACCACTAAAGTTCACCTGAAAAATGGTAGATTCTGTAAAGTAGGGAGAGGAAACCGCGTATCAAATAACTTTATTCCCTTTTGTTATGGTAATGTCCACCCCGAAACTCAGAGCCGAGTATAATCTTGAAAGAAATAAGAATGAGTTTTAAGGGGCACTGTTTACCCTTACTGTTTCGGTCGGTAACTTGACCGAATCTGATTGAAACAATATGGCGATTAATGTAAATATGATTACATTTTTGTCGTTACGTAATTTCAAAATGGCGGATGTTATACAACGTTTAACAAGTCAAACATTACTGTTGAATGTATTCTATATAGAACAGTTTGATAAGCTGTTAATCATAGAGGATGTAGGTGTGTTCGACATACTGTTATTACTGGTACTTATTATTATTAAATATTTGGTAATCGATCATCTTTTATTACTGTTAGAAAAGTGGTTGCAGTTAAAGTAAATATCACGATAATACATTACAGTACATGATAACAAACACATCAATACATCCATGATAGTACATGGTTACAAACACACATCGCCCTAACAAGCTCGAAATCTTTGTCTTAAACTTAACCCCATAAAACAGTTCATCACAACATAAGCAGTTTCTATTTTACAGATACATAACGGATTGGGGCCAAGACGAAATCTATACGAAATTAAATGGAGTTTCCACGCCAATGGTTTCGGGATTTCTGAGCCTTTCTCAGAACTAGGAACCGGGTTGCGATCAAAACGTACGGAACTGAACCGCAGATACCCGTACAATTTCTTTCAGAGGATTAAAATAAAATAATTCGTATCAATACAGAGTTGTATTATTCAAGCGTAACGTGACAAGTGAAAAAGTAATGAAGGAAATGAAAAAGTTTAAGTAAAAAATCTCGGGAATAAATAAAGTTTGAAACTGTAATCGAAGATGACTCATATTGTCAATGAGGCAAATAACATAAATTAGAAAAATATGGAGTAAATTCATCTCTATGTACGCTTTCAAAGAAAAAACATTTGTGTATGTAAGAAAACTCATTCCCTTCAACAACATAGTACACAGAGTATCAAAGTATATCAAAACTAAGTAAGCCAAGTTAAATCTTTTAAAGTTATTAAGTAATAGCGACTTGAACTAAAACTGAAACTACCTTCCACAAGGACTTTTCGAATTGAACTACGCCACGTGAACTTCTAGGAAAATTTCTTTAAAATCTTTTCAACGAATTTCATTGCAAACATCCGTAGTTACTATGGATAAGGAAAAATTCTTCTAGTTTTTTTTTGCTCGATACCGTCGAAGCGAAGTCATTATTTTGATCTCTCTATCTAAGTAATCATAAATTAGATACTTTGTTTAAGACAAAAACTATAGGGATATTAACATCAATTTTCCTCTTAACTATTTTGTTCGGCGTTTCCATGATTTTATCAAAAAGTGTTGTTTTAAATCTGATGGATTCAGAAAATAAAGTGTCTGTTTTATTACAGTGGCATACGTAGCTGATATTGTTTACATTTCAAATGCAAGCGAGTAGGTACTTGATGTAGACTAGCTTGGAGAGTAGGATCGTATGAAACAAGGCCACAATCAATATGTGTCGTATACTCGGGACGAATGCATAACCAAATTACGTTCGGACTTAATCAGAATCCTTCACCTAAATGCATACAAAATATCAAAACGGCACAGCTTTTTTATTACCTTAGAGAAGACCGAGACAAATAGAAATAAATAAATGTAATAAAACAAATAAATGTAACACATACTTTTCACCGGGTTATGAAAAGAAAACCCAATGAAATTAATTTCGATCTGACAATGGAATTAAAGATCTTGGTCGACAGTCGCATGTGACCAACGAATAAAGCATCAAAAGAGTAACCTCTTTAACACAGTATAAATAAGTACGAAAACCAAAAGGATTATGAATTCTATGAAACCAGGTTTGATAAACATAGCGGCTCAGGAGTTGATAACAATGTAGTGGCACCGTGCCAGCCCATGGTATATCTACTAGCTACAAACATACAACGTCGACCCAACTATGACCCGGATTGACTTCCACTCGCAAATATATTACTAATTCATTTATGGAGGGAATTTATCCAAAAATTGGATAGACTGGTCTCCCCGATAGACACAAGGATTTTCGCATATTTTTACTAACGCTAAAAACAATGCGGGTTTTTTTACACTATTCGTTATGAAATTCGGAAAATCTATTGTCAGAGCACCCCTGCATTCTAAGAAAACATTAAATGGAATATTTCAGTTTTCTGTAACCCAGGAAAACAATAAGGTCAGGGATTTGTTGTTGTTATTAGTGTCTGTGAAAAGTACGAATACTTACATGGTGCAGGACTGGGAGGTTCAGCACAGATCCCAATAGATTTACTGGGGTCATCGATGAACCACTGCGCGAGGTGGTAGTCGCCAAGCTTGGTCTGTATCTGCTGGCTCACGCGATCCCTGTTGCCTGTAACCTGTTGAATAAAAATAAATATTAACACATTTATAATTAAATATAAAATGCTTTGACTTACATTGGGATATTCTCTTGTGTTTAAAAACGCAATTTTCAAAGCCTATTCTAGAGAAATAATCCGAGTATCGTGTATTCCATTAATAATGCCCTATCTATTGTTGTGTGTGTCTCTCATATTTGTAAGTACATCAATAATATAATCGTTCGTTGCAAAGATTAGATTCCCATGCCTAACCCCAAGAACTCCTTCCAAATTAGATCATAATAATAGTTCTTCCCTAAGAAATTAAACTACTCGTACTTAGCATTTTTCAATTGCGCGAGTGCAGTCGAAAACATAGAACATCGTCATCAGTAACGTATCTAGGTCAGAGGAGTGCTGATGTAGGTCAAGTTCATTAAGTAGGTGTACGAAACCATTAAGGCGTTAAACAAAACAAGGCATCGAACGTCCTTTGGCAAATTGAAAAAGGAAGATTATTTCTTTTGTTTTTTGATGTGTTGTGTTGTGATAAACAAGATGGAGGAGGGAATGAGGCGTGAATGGACAAATTAATGGCGATTTATAAACTCAAAACACCAACTTTAACTTTGCTTTGTGTCTTTAATTTATTTCGTCATGTCATTAAAGGGCAAATTAATTTGTAGATCAAATTTGACTTGATAAGTTTTTATATCAATCAATAAAGTATCATGGTCATCATCACTTAAAAAATACTTCCTCATACAGAGACTATAAATACATCGTAACCAAAAAATTCTTCAGAAACTAAAATAATCTCCATCAAAATTATTCAGTTACTCGGTTTACCAAAACCGCTAGGTGCGGCTTAGTGCCTGCACAGTTCTTATACAACACTAGAGAGAAATCTAGAGATCAGGGAAACATGAATTTATTACTGAATTGTAATATGAACATTTGAAAAATACTACAAGTACTAGTATTTAGTATTAATATAAGTATTTAATTTGAACTTAAAGCGATTTCTTTTCGCTTAAGTACTACTGCAAATTAAAATCAGTTATTAGCAGATGAAAGGAAAGGAGCTTAAGATGAAAATTTTCCGTTAACAATTCTAATGTCAGAATATTTTTTATTTAAAAGTCAACATCAACATAGAGCAATTGACATAGAAATAATGTAGATACCAAACAGTGTGGTAGATTTTAAAAATTATTTAAGAGTCCAGGGGGCCCAATTTCAAAATTAAGGACACAATAAAAAACAATCATTAAAAACATAGGAAGTGAAAGTGGATATTATAAATTTTATCTATTCGTGTCTTTTAGTATCAAGAACGATAAGATAGCAGATACACAAAGCAAGGCCAACGAAACAGTTTCAATTGACAAAGCTCTTTACTAATGCACTTTGGTAGAAAACCCTCGAATTTATTCTATGACGCCAAATTTCTGACCTCGTTCGCTCCACAACCTAGTTTTCCCGGCCTTGAAAAATACTAGTCGTCTATCCACTAGAACCAGGTTTGCTCAGCAACGAGAAACCTTAATTAAATTGACTTTAACTTGTTCGCAAATTGTAATTAAAACTGAACCGAATATAAGGAAAAAGTATTGTTTGGTTATTATCTGAATTACTGTTGGTAATTACTGAGAAACAGAGGTTGATGTTATCTCTTTAAGTAAAAACATATTATCTTTTCTAGATATATATTTTTTCTATATGTTTATGAAGTGATATATCGTACTAAGCTTTTGTTTATATTATAATAATAATCAACGACCATCTGTCATGTTTTAGCCGAGATATTTTATCATATATCGTCGGCAGTGTGTCTCACTTGTCCATGACTATTACACAACTATTACAAATGATTTAGCTACATGTAAATCATTGATTTACATTTATTTGCATAAACTTTTGATTATCATCGTTATTAATTACGGCAATACTTTAATTATTAGCTCATTATTCTCAGGTATTTGACAAATAAGATGTATGAAATGTCCACCGTCTTAAAAACAGGTTTTGAGATTCAGGCACGCGTTCGTTCTCAATGCTATTCCAATTGTAAGTTCAAGTCATACCGAAGCTGACAATAAAACTGCATTGAACCGGTAAGCTTTTAAATGGTAATACGATCATAAATAGCGTATGTATCATCGTGAGGCCACGGCCGTGTGGTGGGCATGTGTCGTCTCGGCCTAAATAAACCAGCCCTGTCGACTAGTGATTCACAACGTACGCCTTATGAGATATATGCAGATAATAACACTATTTTTGCCATAATCTCCCGTTAGCTTCACCCAGGCTTTTATGGGTTTTTGTTATGGGGTACAGCCCCTACCGTCTAAGTGCTTGCCAAGACTTATAGGGTGACACGTGATGAATTTCAAAAGTGCTATTATGCAGATGGTTATGGCATTGTTGGTCTGATATTCGTTGGAATTTGCGATTTGGAACTTGCGTTAAGATGACTGCTTGACGGACAATCTTGCTATGCCTATTGAAGTTGTACAAAGTCTACTTGTTATAGGATCAAGATGGATAAGATTTTAGTTGCAAAAATCCATTTTTAACAACATCATCATCAAAAAAGTAAATAATATTGAGTTAAATATGAGAAGAAAATTAGAAAATTAAAATGTAATTGGAAAGAAAATTATAGAACAAATACAATCGGAAATTGTACGAAGTGATGCGATGATTTATTGATTGAAAATCGTAGCGGCAAATTGATAACAGTATCGTTAGTACGAGTACAACAAGAATATGATTAATTAAATGGCTCCCGACGAATGGCTCGGCCGGAACCGCTCGCAATGATTGTTTAAACCTTATTTAATATTCCAACCCAAGACTGTTGATTTAAATATTATTTCTAATTTAGATGATGGAATTTCTTTAAGGGGGCGTCCATAAATTACGTGAGATGATTAAGGGGGGGAGGGGGTCGAGTCAAATCTCATCTAATCTCACGCTGGGGAGAGGGGGGGTCTCGATAAATATCACGCAATTTTTTTTTCTGATTGAAACAAAAAAAAAATATACTATTTTGGTCCATTTCATTCAAATTGTATGTACATGCTTAAGATTTAATTTTAAGCGTCATCGTAATACGATTAAGATTAACACACACACACTAATTCATTCGGAAGAAAATAATTTCATTCATATTTCGACGTTATACATCTACTGAATGTCAAACCACCAGATTTATTTTATACCAAATAGCTCAATTTAGTTACGGTACAATGTAATGGTCATATGGACATGTTGGTTCCAATAGTCTCTCTTGAGACCGCGCATAATTCCCCATGGACTGAATTAGAGTAGATATTCTTTTTTTTTTTAATCACAGTAGCTAGATTTAAGTATTCTATTGTTAAATTTTTATTACATTTATTACTCTCAGCAATATTGATTACTAGTCTTAACTAGTCTTAAATAAAAGCACGAATCAAATTGTTTTTTTCTTTTCACAATAAAAATCCAACGCGTTTATGTAAGAAACCCACATTCCGAAAAATCTCACGTGAGATTGGGGGATGGGGGAGGGGGTTGAATAAAATCTCACGACATCTCACCAAGGGGGAGGGAGGGTCAGAAAATTTAAAAAAATACCTCACGTAATTTATGGACGCCCCCTAATCGAATTGCAGTAAGATAAACAGACTGAAAGTTAATGATTCTTTATCATTTACATTAACTTTTTAGGCTAATGCCGTAAAAGTGACACAAATATAGTGTTAAAAGCTGAAGGGATTATTTAATAAATTCTTTTAGTTATATCAACAGTACAAATACCACTAAAATATGGAGAAAATGCAACCAAAGACCAAATTCCAAACACACTATTTGATCTTCACGAGCGAATTCACAACCAAATACTCTGAACATTTGATTCAAAAGCCTAGTAAAGAACCGAAAAAATGGCTAAATGCAAACAGTTTTTAATACAGTTGAAACAGAGTTCGAAATGGAATAAAGTAAACGTATTGGATACCCGTTGAATGTGCAGATATTTGATTGAAACGGCAAATCATTTATGAGACCTGTTTCCCGGAGTATTTTCCGCTCGGCTATTTACTAAAGTACCTTATGCGTCCTATATTCACATAATCCTACTAACTCGTTTGTCGTGTGTACGTTTTCCTGACGTGCAAGGGGTCATGGGATTGATGTTCGTGTCAGATTATGTATTAAGGATTTTTTATCTCATTAAAGAGTACGTGAAGATTGAGTTTAACTGAGTAAATTGACGCATTAGAAAATAACACGTATAATTTAACGTGCGTTTCTAAATATTAGAGCCTTAAGCTAATCATTATTTCAGTCGTACATTTCTACATTTCACTCCCATGTATTTCTATAAGAAATGATTCGATTTCGGATCGAATACAATCTTCGATAAAGGTCTTTGGAATTCAGGGAGCGTATGTTACGCTTTCTTTCTAAAGTGACCTTTCCCGTAGGCATTCCAACGTCATCCCGGAGATCTCAGGGTATCAATAAAGTGGTTTTTATTGTAGACAACATTAATTGTCTTGATATCGTCATCGTCGCGACTTGTTTGATTAACACACTAAAGGTCGTCAGCTCACTTGAATACAAAATTGATACATTAACGTTGGTCTAATAGGTGAGGCATTACTCAAACATCGTTTTAATTGGAAATTTTTAATGTTTGCCCACGAACTTTGAATAAACATGAGGTCTGTTCTCAAACGTAAAAGTCAACATTATCCAAACGCGTTCAGCAATCGGCACCGATATCGTATACGACAAATATGTACAAATGGCTAATACGTCTGTGTTTAAATTCACAAAACTGTTTACTCTCTCGATTCGGACGATGTTCACAGATGAAGTGAGATGTAGGTCAATAGGCACATAAAAACAATTATTCTGACAACTACGGAAATACATATGTATGCGCTGTGCGCCTCTAAACGCGAACTAAGAATAGATCTCTTTGAAAATAATAGAAGCATAATTTTAGACTTGTTTATTCTTGCCGTTTCATCTTTGAGTTA